CATACATACAAATAGTTTTTGTCTTTCATTAGTTGACCTCTGTAAAGTTAAGAGTTTATATGCAGACTTTACTGAAAATTCTCCTGATGGTTCAAGCTTCAAATACCAAGAGTCATTCTTCAACTTCTTCATGGAGAAGGTATTTAAGATCTGATGTAGTGTCAAAATCTGATTTGCCTCTCAATCAAACCTCTCCCTCCTCCACCTAAACTCCCAAACCCATGTCTCATCTACCCACTACCCCATTTTGTGAACTGTATCCTGTTTCTGTTAAGAAATTAAGAATAACCTAGGATATAATATAGTTAGGCATTCCTCACCAGTCCACTTGTCCAACCAAAATAGAGTTTGTTTTCCTTCCCCCATTTTCCAATCCTTCGAATTATCAAACCACTTGTCTTCATTATCGGCTCCACAAGCCTTAAGCATATCCCTCCACCAAATTGAAGCCTTAGCATTGTTGTAACCTGTGCACAAATTAGGCTGATCAGCACCATACTTTGATAACAACACACGTGCCCACGTTGAATCAAGATTGTGAAAGAGATTCCACCTCCATTTTGCCAGAAGAGCTACATTAAAAGGTTGCAATATTTTTTATTCCAAGCCCTCCCCCTCTTTTGGCCTGGTAACTTTTTCCCATCTCACCCAAGCTATCTTCCTTATGTCGTCTGAGTAAGCCCATAGGAACTTCCTCTGAATAGAGACAATTTGTTTTACCACACTCTTTGGAGCTCTAAAAAAAGAGAAATAGAAGAGTGGCAAGGATGTTAGGACAGAGTTGATACCCTCCCTGCCATGGAAAGTGATTTGTGCTTCCACTTTGCCAACTTCTTGTTATACTTACTAATTATAGGTCTCCATGTCTCTGTTCTCCTCGGGTCTGCTCCTAATGGAATGCCCAAATAATTGAAAGGTAGTTGGGTCACGCTACAATTTAGTAGGTGTGCAAATCCTTCTATCACATTCCTTTCTACTCCCATCCCCCCAAAAATACTTTTAAAAAAATTTACTTTTAGACCAGCCACCAATTCAAAGCACCTGAGGATACTCTTCATAGTGATGACATTCTTAATTATTGCTTCTCCTATAAAAATTGTATCATCTGCATATTGTAAGATAGAGACTCCAACCTTCTTCTCTCCAACCTTCACTCCTGAAAACAAATTTTTTTCTACTAGCTTCCCTCATCAATCCTGTTAGACCTTCCACCACAATAGTGAAGAGAAATGGCAACAAGGGGTCTCCTTGTCTGAGTCCCCTAATCATTTTAAATTCCTCTGATGGACTGCCATTAATTAACACTAAAACATGAGCTGACTCCAAGCATGCCCGTATCCATTGAATCCATTTAGCGTCAAACCCTAGTCTTCTTAGCATATATTAGAGGAACTCCCAATTTACTGAGTCATACGCCTTCTCATAGTCCACTTTAAAAAATATGCAACTTTTCTTTTCCTTTTTGACTTCATCCAGGGTCTCATTTGCAATCACCACACTCTGTAGTAAATTCCTCCCTTCTAGGAATGCACTTTGTCTATCATCTATTACTGATGGTAGTACTTTCTTCAATCTATTAGCCAAAATCTTAGCTAGGATCTTGTACAAGCAACCAACCAATGAAATAGGTTTGTAATCACCTAAAGATTGGGGATCATCAACCTTAGGTATCAACGTGATGAACGTTGAGTTTGTACCTTTTGGTAGTTTACCATTTGCATGAAATTCTTTCAGCATTCTCACGATATCCTCCTTCACAGTTTCCCAAAAAGATTTGATAAACTTGAAATTGAATCCATCTAGACCTGGACTCTTTGAACTATCACAATCCCAAACTGCCATTTTGATTTCCTCTAGACCAATAGCAGCTGTTAATTGAAATTTCTCCCTGACTGAGATCTGTTTGAACTGAACACCTTCTAGAAGTGGTCTCTCCCAATGTTGTTCCATATTATAGTGGTGTTTGGATTACATTTATGTTAAACCTAACCCAATATTTTTTCAATCCATCCGTTTCTTCCTTTTGTGTTTTGAAATGTGCAAACGAACGTTTGATGCCTCTGAACCCAAGATTTTTCAGGTTGGATTATCTATCAAATGTTGATTAATTGGGATGATATAGGTTCTTTAAGAAGAGAGTCGTTGGTTCCTTATGGTCATTTTATTTGAATCTAATCACAATTCGATTGAGATATGAAATATATGAGATGGAAGCAAGTCGATCCAACAATTTAGTATAATATAGGATAAAATCTATTTTGGTCCCTTATAATAATTGTTTGTTTCAATTTGGTCCCACTTTTATTTTTGGTTTCAATTTGGTCCCAAATAAATTAATTGGTTTCAATTTAGTCCCTAATAAATTAATTGGTTTCAATTTGGGACTAACGTCCAAATTATTTAAATGGAGTTAACTATTGGCCATGTGGATGCCATGTAGATGCATAGGTAGATGCCACGTGGATGCCAATTTTTTGAAAACACCTGGAACCAGAACGGCCCGTTCTGAAACGGGCCGTTCCGGATGCAAAATTAACACATCAAAAGTGCAACCAAAACGACCCGTTCTGGTTTCAGAACGGGCCGTTCTGGTTCAAGGTGTTTTAAAAAAATAGCATCCACGTGGCATCCACCTATACATCTACGTGGCATCCACGTGGCCAATAGTTAACTCCGTTTAAATAATTTGGACGGAAGTCCCAAATTGAAACCAATTAATTTATTAGGGACCAAATTGAAACCAATTAATTTATTAGGGACCAAATTGAAACCAATTAATTTATTTGGGACCAAATTGAAACAAAAAATAAAAGTGAGACTAAATTAAAACAAACAATTATTATAAGGGACCAAAATAGGTTTTTAGCCTATAATATATGAATATTAACATTATATATGATTTGCTTATAAAATAAAAGAGATATATATTTTACAGCATAGTATTCTAAAGTTATTCTAAAAATTGTATCCGATCTGGTTTTAAAACCTATCCAATTCACTTTGCCTAGGTCAAGACAGTGAAACAACTCAGATCTTGCTCACCTCATAACTAATTTTTGTATTTTTGTTAAAGTATTTTTTATGCTTTTTTTTTAAATTTTCTAACATGGCCCTTCTTAAAAAAAAAAAGGAGATGAAGCCTAATATATATATAT